TCACTAGGAACGTACTACAATTTTTGGAACATAAAAAAAAAAAAAAAAAACCTTTAGGTAGCCTAAAATGTACATCATTTAGTCTCATCTCGCTTTCCCCCCCGTTTCAACACTGGACTATAACATTATACAACCTGGATCATCTCGAAGAATATATCGACGCACACTACAATACACTCTGCTGCAACATGAACAGGGACAAACCAGATCACAACAAAAAGAGTAAAGGTAACCCCACTCCAAACTCCAAGAGACCTCGTCCCGATTCGCCTTGCAGTCCAAGTATAACACCATCCACATCACCGAAACTGCCGTGCTGCTCTGAGGTAAGCGACATTCTACTCTCTATTGAAAATAAACTCTCCGGACTTGACACCAGGATCGCATTGATTGAAGTCCTACACAAAGAACTCCAGGAATTGCGGCACAGCTTAGAATTCAGCCAAGAGCAGATAGACACTCTCACTAAAGAAAATAACTTTTTAAAGGATTCATTTCACGCACTTGCCACTCAACTCACTTCCGTTGTCGCAGAAAACAAAACCGTGAAAGAAAACATTTTGGATTTGGAAACGCGCAGCATGAGGGACAATTTAGTTTTCACAGGCATCCCGGAACAAACTCCAGACGACCCCGAGAAATCAGTCAAGGACTTTATGATAAAACAACTCAAATTACCAGCCGAAACTGTACAGATCATCACCTTTCACCGTGTTCACCGTATCAGATCTCAAAACAACAACACCCGACCACGACCGATCATCGCAAAATTTGAACACTATAAACACAACTGGTTCAGAGGCAAGGCAGACAACTTAAAGGCACAAACTATGGTCTCAATGAGCAATACCCAAAGGACATTCTCAAACGTCGAAAGCAACTTTTCCCAATCCGAAAACAGAAAATAAATGAAGGAAAAAGAGCAATCATTACAGTGGACAAATTATACATAGATGGACAACTATATCGCGATAAGGACATTACCCCCTGACTTTTCTGAACACCTCGCTTCCATTCATTCCTGAGTCAGTAACTGCCATTATGATAAACTGATCTCTCTCTCTCTCTTTCTTTAATCTATAAGATGTGCTCTTGTTTTTGCACCTAGGTCTCGTGCCCCTCCCCATGTTCCACTATATCTTTGTATTTAATGGTTTTTGTTTTATTGTTGTCCTGCTGTGTACATTCTGTCAATTATGTATCTGTAGTTTTGTCAGTCTGCTAACAACATTGCATTGTTATACACACACACATATGCACTGCCATACCCCTTCGAATACATACACTCACATTTATACACATACAGTACGAACAGACCCATACATTAATATACATTTCTGCTTATTTTTCATTAAAACATGTCATCTATCACTTTTGTAACCTGGAACGTTCGTGGATTTGGTTCTCAGACAAAGAGGATTAAAGTTTTTAATCATCTAAATAAACTACAAGCCGACATATGCCTTCTGCAAGAAACACATCTATCAGAATCTGATCATAACAAAATTAAATCATCTAAGTACAATCATTTATTCTCGGCTCCCTACAACACAAAACAGAGAGGAGTATGCATTCTGATAACACCACCGTTATAGACCCTGAGGGACGTTTCATTATCATAAACATCTCAATTAATTATAGCCCAGTTACAACTGGCAGTTTATATGGCCCAAACACAGACGACCCATCTTTTTTTCCAGACCTTTTTTTCTTCCCTTTCAAATTGTTCTAACTGTCCAGTCATAATAGCAGGTGATTTCAACACAGTTTTAGACTCAACAATAGATAGATCTAACAGTTTGGCCAATAAACGTATCTGGAAATCTGCAGAAACCATAAAACAGTTCATGAGTGATTTTGGTCTTGGCGATGGTTGGCGTCTACAGCATCCTAACGTTAAAGAATACTCATTTTTCTCACCAGTCCACCACTCATATTCATATTCCTACTCATATATTTAAAAGAGAGTGGGCATGCTTTCTAGAGATGAAGGACTCCCCGAAATCATCTCCATCTCTTTTGTGGGAAGCAGGGAAGGCAGTACTAAGAGGAAAAATCATTTCATTCTCCATTTACAAAAAAAGGAAAGAGAAGGAACAACAAGCTGAACTGGAACAAAAAATCAAAGAACTTGAAGACATCAATATAAATAACCCAACAGAAGAAACACAGGACACATCAAGAAAACGTAAATTTAAATTAAATGAATTAATCAATAAACATAGCCAATTCCTAATTCATAGGCTAAGACAAGAAAACTTCCATCACAGTAACAAATCCGGTAAATATTTGGCAAATCAAATCAAACAAAATAAGGAAAAAACAATAATACCAGTTATTACAGACACAGCCGGGAAGTCCACCAATTCACCAGAAGAAATAAATCAAATCTTTCAAAATTTTTACAGTAAATTATATTCCTCTGAAAAAGACCCGACTCAGAAAGACATCAATTCATTTCTCAACAATATCAACCTACCTCAACTTAGTAAATATCAAATAAATACTCTTGAACCCCCCTTAACAGAACAAGAAATCTTTAATGCCCTTAAACTCATGCCGAACAATAAAGCACCAGGTCCTGATGGATTTCCAGCTGAGTTCTACAAACACTTTTGGTCCATTTTATCACCACTCTTCATCCGAATGATAAATGAATCAAAACAAAAATCAAAACTCCCAGATAACATGAACACAGCCACAATGTCACTCCTTCTCAAACCCAATAAAGACCCAACACTACCGTCAAGCTATCGTCCAATTTCCCTAATCAATGTAGACATTAAAATCATCGCCAAAGCACTACCCCATAGAATAGAAAAGGTCACACCATCTATAATCCATCCGGACCAAACTGGTTTCATTAAAGGTAGACTTGCATCTAACAACACACGCAGACTTTTTAACTTAATGTATTACTCATCAATTAAAAAAAAACAAAACCATCACAGTCCCTCTCGATGCAGAAAAAGCATTCGATAGAGTCAATTGGAAATTCCTGTTTTCCACACTAGAGAGGTTTGGTTTTGGGGAGTTATTCATTAAGTGGATAAAACTTCTGTATACATCACCTTCAGCCACTGTCATCACCAATGGACTAGCATCACGTAACTTCACACTGCACCGGGGGACTAGACAAGGATGCCCACTCTCCTCTTCACTATTCACCATGTTCATTGAACCATTAGCAGCAGCCATCCGTCAAAACAGCAACATAAAAGGAATCCAAACACTGTATGTGTATGTATGTATATGTATGTGTATGTGTATTTATGTATATGTATGTGTGTGTATGTATGTGTATGTATGTATGTGTATGTATGTATATGTATGTGTATGTGTGTATTTATATGTATGTGTGTATGTGTATATATGTATATATATATATGTGTGTGTGTGTGTGTGTGTGTGTGTGTGTATGTGT